AAAGGCTTAAATTTTTAGTGCACATACATACATTAACGAACTTTAGGAGAACATTTATTGTAAGATCACTATAAAACTATACAAAGTAAACGATAAGTTTTTGCAGTTGTTTCAAAACGACTAAAAACGAAATTTTTGGAAACTCACCACACCGTGGTGAAAAACTTTTTTTTGTAAAAAATTGTGCATACTTGTGGTGTACTACATTCTGAGTGCTTAAAAAAACATTCATAGCCACTTAAACAATTGGAAGGAATTCACCACACTTGGAAAATTGCAGATCATACAAAAATTTTTGTAAATTTTGTATGGTGTAAACTAAGCTCCTCAAGAGACAATTATTAAATTTGACGACCAGCTAATAAGTCGTCAAAACTTCACGCTGCATGCACGAAATTAAAAGTAATTGTAAAAATTTGTAAAAAAAAACGCAAACAATTAAATAGCGGAAAGCAAATCTTGTGCTTGCATTTGCAATAGCAAGACATTTTTGAATATAAGCGCGCAAGGAAAACTCTTCAGCATTAAAGGAGAAATAACTCACCGCTTTGCTGTTAAGAAATATATATTCTCATATCTTATGCTATTTAAGTAACCCTCGAAAAAATGCACTGATAAATTATCTAAGACATCACTGATAAGAAAATTAAATTCACCACGAAAAATATATATGTACGAAGAGCAATCTGTAAAACCAACTGTTGCACAGAACTTAAAGCACTACTTGATAACCATACATAAGTAAATACAACGATAGCTCGAGGCTAAAAATAAATAAAATTCACCGCTTGTGCTAAAACATGAGAAACAGCCGTTATAGAAATAATGAAGCTTAAAAAAGTTCTGTGGTGAAATACGTTATTTTATGATACAAAAAAAAGTGTCTAAGCCAAATATCCGAATAATTTTGTGGCACTGGTGTTAATATGAAAATTATTGAAAAATTCATGACCAAGTAATAGTTAATACGTATCAGCAAACAGTTTGGTACAAAAGCAATATTCAGTTGTAACTTCATTTGAATACCACTGTTTTAAAATAAAAGTAGAAACTCACCACACTGCAATATGAAAAGTGTATACTAATAATGCCTACGCCATTTATAAACTACAAAACGCACTCAACAGCTTATAAATTAACTTTTGCATAAATTAGCGATACTCACAAACATACCTACACAGTGGTGAGATCTTAAAATGCACAAAATATAAACATTTACGCTTCAGAAAGGAGAGTCAAATAAGTAAAAAACAGAAATAATCAACCTAAAGCTTAAAAATAATATTTTTCAAACGGTTTCAAAGCTACCTACACTGTAAAACAATCAGCAACAAAAAATCCTTCACGAATTCTCAAAACGCAATCTTTGAATAAGAACAAAGAGGTTATTCGCTTAAGTGCTCGAAATCCAATAAGCAATATCAATTTAGAAATATCAAAACTGAAATTTTATCGCACAGAATTACAAAACTTCACCACACTCTCGCTCTTAAATAATTTCACACACTCACAGAAGTCGGCAACAATTAACTCGCCATGGGCTGTCACGGGACTGGCACGTGCGATTGCTGTGGCGGCGGAGGCTCGTCGACGGCAAGCAACAATGGCAACAACGACGCGCCACAACGACCACCACCACAACACCAACAGCAAACCGATAGCGCTAACAACAGTCCGCAGCGCCGGCGTCAACAAGCACAGCAGCAGGAACAGCAACAGTCAGAGCAACCGCCACATATACTTGGTGCTGCTGCTGCCTTGCATTTGCGGCGCGAACGCGATCCACCACAGCTGCCCCCACTGCCAATTGCGCCAATTATGCCGCCGCGCCCACCGCCTGCACAACAACAGCAGCAGCAGCAACCGCTACACCGTTTGGGCGTGCCTGCCGTGGCCATAATTGCACCGCGCGGCAGTCGCCATTTGCAATCGCAGGATTTGCAGAACAACAATAATAACAACAACTTGGTTGGTGGCGGCGGAAGCGATGCCGCCCGAACTCAACACGCCAGCATTGCGCACTATATCAATCAGGTGAATTTGCATATGAATCTCACCAACAACAACAACACCAGCAGTACCGGCGGCGCGGGCAACACCAACAATAATAGGCTCAGCGTAAGCGCAACCACCAGCAGCGGCCAGCACATGTACAACAACAACAACAATCACATTTATGTAAATCCGC